GGTGGCGCGGACCGAGCGCCAGGTCGAGAGCACGCAGTCGCTGATCCGCGTTGTCGGCCTCAGCGCCACGCTGCCCAACTACATTGACGTCGCCGACTTTCTCAAAGTCAACCGCTACGCGGGTCTCTTTTATTTCGACGCCTCGTTTCGTCCCGTGCCCCTGCAGCAGCACTTTATCGGCGTCAAAGGCAAGGCGGGCAGCAAGGAAGGCAAGGAGAACCTCGACACGGTCGCCTTCGAAAAGGCACGGGACATGCTCGAGCAGGGCCACCAGATCATGGTCTTTGTGCACTCGCGGCGCGACACCATGGCCACCGCCAAGATGCTGCACGAAAAGGCCACAGACGAGATGTGCCTCGACCTGTTCGACCCCAGCACCCATCCGCGCTACGAGGCCGCCGTGGCGTCCATGAAGACGTCTAAGGCCCGCGAGATCCGCGACCTGCTGCCCAAGGGCCTGGGCATCCACCACGCCGGCATGGCCCGGTCCGACCGCAACCTCATGGAGCGCCTGTTCGGCGAGGGCGTGCTCAAGGTCCTGTGCTGTACGGCGACCCTCGCGTGGGGCGTCAACTTGCCCGCGGCCGCCGTCATCATCAAAGGCACGCAGGTGTACAGCGCCCAGGACGGCAAGTTTGTCGACCTCGGCATCCTCGACGTGCTCCAGATCTTTGGCCGTGCTGGCCGTCCGCAGTTTGAGGACACGGGCATCGGCATGATCTGCACCTCCCACAACAAGCTGACGCACTACCTGACGGCCGTGACCGAGCAGCTGCCCATCGAGTCGCGCTTCTCGGCCAAGCTCGTCGACAACCTGAATGCCGAGATCGCACTCGGCACCGTCACCTCCATTCCCGAGGCCGTGCAGTGGATCGGCTACTCGTACCTCTTTGTGCGCATGCGCCGCAACCCCATGGCCTACGGCATCGACTGGGCCGAGTTCGCGCAGGATCCCATGCTCGTGCAGCGCCGTCGCCAGCTGGCTGTCCAGGCGGCGCGCACGCTGCAGCAGAGCCAGATGATTATTTACAACGAGGCGACCGAAGAGCTGCGCAGCAAGGACGTTGGGCGCATTGCCAGCCAGTTTTACATCTTGCACTCGAGCATCCAGATTTTCAACACCATGATGCGCCAGCACGCCACCGAGGCCGACGTGCTGCAGATGATCGCCAAGAGCAGCGAGTTTGACAACATCTCGTCGCGCGACAGCGAGAACAAGGAGCTGTCCAAGCTCAAGGACACGGGCACGGTCTGCGACGTGGGCGGCACCATTGACTCCCCACAGACCAAGACCAACATCCTCCTGCAGTCGTACATCTCCAAAGTCCAGCCGGACGACTTTGCCCTGGGCAACGACCTCAACTACGTCGCCCAGCAGTCCGCACGCATCTGTCGGGCGCTTTTTATGATTGCGCTCAACCGCCGCTGGGGGCACCAGTGCCTTGTGCTGTTGTCTCTCTCGAAATCGATTGAGCGCCGCGTGTGGCCCTTTGAGCACCCGCTGAGCCAGTTCGAGCTGCCCCGGCCGGTCCTCGCGCAGTTGGACGAGAAGGGCACGGTGGCGTCCATCGAGTCGCTGCGCGACATGGAGCCCGGCGAAATTGGCAGCCTGGTGCGCAACCACGGCGCCGGCAACAAGATCTCGCGCATCCTCAGCAGCTTTCCGACACTGACCGTCGAGGCCGAGATTGCGCCCCTCAACCGCGACGTCCTGCGCATCAAGCTCTACCTCTACCCAGATTTCCGCTGGAACGACCAGACCCACGGCACGTCCGAATCGTACTACATCTGGGTCGAGAACTCGGAGACCTCGGAGATCTACCACCACGAGTACTTTGTGCTGAGCCGCCGCAAGCTGCACGACGACCACGAGATGAACTTTACCATCCCGCTGTCCGACCCGCTGCCCGACCAGATCTACGTGCGCGCCGTGTCCGACCGCTGGCTGGGCGCCGAGACTGTCACGCCCGTCTCGTTCCAGCACCTGATTCGTCCGGACACGGAAAGCGTGTACACGGACCTGCTGGACCTGCAGCCGCTGCCCATCTCTGCGCTCAAGAACCCGGTGCTGGAGGACATTTATGCGCAGCGCTTCCAGTACTTCAACCCCATGCAGACGCAAATCTTTCACACGCTGTACCACACGCCCGCCAACGTGCTTCTGGGCTCGCCGACGGGAAGCGGCAAGACCGTGGCGGCCGAGCTGGCCATGTGGTGGGCCTTTCGCGAGCGGCCCGGCTCCAAGGTCGTGTACATTGCGCCCATGAAGGCGCTGGTGCGCGAGCGCATCAAGGACTGGGGCGGGCGCCTGGCCGGTCCGGCCGGCCTCAAGCTGGTCGAGCTGACGGGTGACAACACGCCGGACACGCGCACGATTCAGGACGCCGACATTATCATCACGACGCCCGAGAAGTGGGACGGCATCTCGCGCAGCTGGCAGACGCGTAACTACGTGCGGAAAGTCAGCCTTGTGATTATCGATGAGATTCACCTGCTGGCCGGCGACCGTGGCCCGATTCTCGAGATCATCGTGTCGCGCATGAACTACATTGCGGCCTCGACCAAGGTGCCTGTGCGGCTGCTGGGCATGTCGACGGCCTGCGCCAACGCAACCGACCTGGCCAACTGGCTGGGCGTCAAACAGAGCCAGGGTGCGCTCTTCAACTTCCGCCACTCGGTGCGGCCCGTCCCGCTCGAGCTCTACATTGACGGGTTTCCCGACATGCGCGGGTTTTGCCCGCTGATGCAGGCGATGAACCGCCCGTCGTTCCTGGCCATCAAGAACCACAGCCCGGACAAGCCGGTGATTGTCTTCGTTCCGTCGCGCCGACAGACCCGTCTGACAGCCAAGGACCTCGTCAACTTCTGTGGCATGGAAGACAACCCGCGCCGCTTCCTGCACATGGATGAGGACGATCTGCAGGCAAACCTGGCACGCGTCAAAGACGACGCGCTGCGCGAGGCCATTAGCTTTGGCATCGGCCTGCACCACGCCGGCCTCGTCGAGTCGGATCGGCAGCTCTCGGAGGAGCTGTTCTTGCACAACAAGATCCAGATTCTCGTGGCGACGAGCACGCTGGCATGGGGCGTCAACCTGCCGGCGCACCTGGTGATTGTCAAGGGCACGCAGTTCTTTGACGCCAAGATCGAGGGCTACAAGGACATGGACCTGACGGACGTGCTGCAGATGCTGGGTCGGGCGGGCCGGCCGCAGTTTGACAACTCGGGCGTGGCGCGCATCTTTACGCAGGACGCCAAGAAGGACTTTTACAAGCACTTTCTGCATACGGGCTTCCCCGTCGAGTCGTCGCTGCACACGGTGCTGGACAACCACTTGTGCGCCGAGGTGTCGGCCGAGACGATTGTCAGCAAACAGGACGCGCTCGACTACCTGACGTGGACCTTCTTCTTCCGGCGGCTGCACAAGAACCCGTCGTACTACGGACTGGACATTCTGCCCGAGGAGCAGCAGGACAACGGCGGCATGACGGCACAGCACTTGGCCAACGAGTTCATGGTGGACATGGTGGACAAGGCCCTGAACGACCTGGCCACGTCCAAGTGCGTCGAGGTGTACCCCAACGGGGACGTGGACCCGACGCCGCTCGGCAAGATTATGAGCTACTACTATCTCTCGCACAAGACGATCCGGCACCTGGTGCGGCACGCCAAGGCGCGCGCCTCGTTCCTGGACGTGCTCTCGTGGATGTGCCACGCGACGGAGTACGACGAGCTGCCCGTGCGGCACAACGAGGACCTGGTGAATGCGGAGCTGTCGGCCAACCTGACGTTCCCCGGCACGTCGTTTGGGCTGCCCATGTGGGATCCGCACGTCAAGTCGTTCTTGTTGCTGCAGGCGCACATGTCGCGCATCACGCTGCCGATCACGGATTACGTGGGCGACCAGACGAGCGTGCTGGACCAGGCGATCCGCATCATGCAGGCGTCGATTGACGTGCTGGCCGAGCTCAACCACTTGTCGAGCTGCCTCGAGATGATTACGCTGCTGCAGTGCGTCAAGTCGGCCGTCTGGCCCACAGACCCGCCGGTCGCGATCCTGCCGGGCGTTGACGGCGACGCCGCCGAGGCGTACGGCAAATCCAAGGGTGCGTCCGCGCGCTTGCAGGCCGTCAGTGCCATGACGGAGGCGCAGAAGAGGCAGCTCAGCAAGTCGCTGCAGGTGCCTGCGAGCCGTGTGAACCAGTTCAACCGTGCCGTGTCCTTGCTGCCCAACGTACAGGTATCGGTCAGCCCCGTGACATCGTCGTCTGTGACAATCAACTTGAAGCGGCTCAACGCGCTGGTCGACCGCGAGGCCCGCATGTACGCACCCAAGTTCCCCAAACCGCAGACGGAAGGGTTCTTTGCCATTGTGGGTGACCTGGCGCGCGACGAGGTCTATGCCATCAAGCGGGTTGGTTGGAGCTCCGGCCCTGGTCGCAGCGGTGGTGGTGCCGGAGACGGAGGCGGACGCGGGAGCCGTGGAGGTCGCGGTGGTGGCCAGTCCTCTGGCGGTGGTGCCCCCGGTGGATCGCAGCCTACAGCACGGGCAGTGGTGCAGCTGCCCGAGACGGTTGCCCAAACCGGCAAGGTGGACGTGCTCATTGTGAGCGACGGCTATGTGGGCCTCGAGTACCGCGTGCTGGGCGTAGAAGTGCCCAAGGCACCCGTTGTCGACGGCATCGACAAAGAAAAGGGCCAGTAAGCCGTCGGTTTAACAACAATAAACATAAACACATCTGGTGCATTGTTAGAAAAGACGATAGAACGTACATATTGGGCATATCATTGAAATATTTCAAAGCGAGTCAGCCTTCCAACACACACTTACAGACAATACGGTGCGCGCCGAGATGCTTCCTGTGTCTGCTTTCGATGGCTTCAGCCACTCTTCAGTCGCTCGTCACTCCCCTTCTTGGGGACGCAGGTACTTGTCGAGATCCTTGTTGCTCATAATCTGCTCCCGCAGGCGATCGTGCCGTCGTCGGCGATCTTCTTCCATGGCACGCAGCTGCTTGCGCGTATGCTTGCGGTTGCGTGTCGGCGGCGGCGCCGATGCTGCCGAGCCAGACGAGCGGGACCGAGATGCTGACGACGACGGCGTCGGGCCGTTACCGAGGGCTTGTCTGTCTGGCCGCAGTTTTGCATCGATCGGATAGGGCATGCCCTGCTGGTCGGCGCCGAGGCCCCTGCCACTATCTGGGTCCCAGCCCTGGGCGCTCATTATGGCGAGGCCCAAACGGCCGCGGTTGACCGAAGACGGTGGCTTAGAGTGGTCGAGAGCCACCTGATGGACGAGGCAGGTCTCGTGGTGATGGGCGGCGGCCGCCGAGGGCGTTGTCAAGGGGAGGCGGCACACGTCGCAGGCGGGTGTTGTGGGGTCGGTGGTGGAGGTCTCGACCGTCTTCGCAACCGACTCGGCACTCCCTTCTCTCTTTTCCGTCTGTCCTATGACGATGCTGAGATAGAGATCAGAGACGGCACCGCCGGGAAGAGCGCCGGTTGGTCCGCTGCCTTTTGTCTGTGGCGCCTCGCCGGCCCGAACAAATGCGACGCGCTGTCGGTGCAGGCCCGTGCCAAAGCCGGGCAGACGGTGGAGTGGCGTGTCCGAGGCGCCGTCTTCGTTGAGTCCGCCATTGTGGTCTGTCGTACTTTGGTGTCTGTGTGCCATTTTTTTTGTTTGGCTGTATTGTACGAGTAGTGTAGATGTGTTTGTTTGGAGAAACGGAAGGCGGTTGAGATGCACTCGCATACGTTCAAAATCAGGCAGGCGCGAGTTTGCCACAGCCTTGGGCCCCACACTTATACATGTGCAGACTTCAGATGGAAAGTGCGCTGGGTGTCGTCATGCTTCAGGGGCAGCTTCCTTATCTTATCGGCAGCTGTAGCCAATGAAAGCCGCCCATGCCCTGAATTCCATTCCACTAAACATGCTATTAAAAGCCACTTTAGCGACCGCGCCTGCCTCGACTGCCACGACATCTTCTTCGACCCCCTTTCCAAGGCCCACGACTTTCGACCTCAATACGTCCCACAAGATCGTCGTCTCCCAGAGTCTCGCACACGTCTCCCGTCTCCCACCATGCCTCTCGACTTTATAACGAACGCGTATCTCTATGGGCTGCCAGAATGGTTCCCCGAGCCCGAGACGCTGGTCAAGTTCTTCGGCACGCTCGGCGTGCTCGTGGGCACCAAGGTGTACTGCAGCGGCGCGTCCAATCGGTCGGACCGCAGCATGCACGGCCGCGTCGTGATGATCACGGGCGGCACGTCGGGCGTGGGTGCAGCCGTGGCGCTCGACCTGGCCAAGCGCGGCGCCCATATCGTGCTTCTGACCCAACAACCGTCGTCCGATCCGTTTGTGGTGGACTATGTCGAAGAGCTGCGCGAGCTCGCGGGCCACCAGCTTATTTACGCGGAGCAGGTCGACTTGACGTCCCTGCACAGCATCCGCACGTTTGCTACGCAGTGGATCGACAACTTGCCGGTGCGGCGGCTGGACATGATCATACTGTGCGCGGCGGTGGCTGGCGTGGCGCAGACGCACGAACGCACGGGCAAGGCGCTGGCGCCGGCACGCGGCGTGACGACGGCGGACGGGATTGAGCGAGCGTGGATGGTCAACTACCTGGCCAACTTCCATCTGCTGGGCATCCTGAGCCCCGCGCTGCGGTCGCAGCCGTTTGATCGCGACGTGCGGATCATTATCACGACGTGCTCGTCCTACATTGGCTCGCCGCCATTGATTGCGGCTCCTGGCAGCACCGCATCCACGACAGCAAGCGCTCGAGGCAGCAAGAAAAAGGCAGCCAAGGCGGGGACAGCGGCCTCTACGACGCCGGACGGCGTCGACATCCCCGACTGGTCCCCGGCGCGCGCGTACGCGCGCAGCAAGCTCGCGCTTATGGTGTTTGCACGCTCCTTCCAGAAGCACGTCGACGCACACAAGCGGCCGGACAACCTACCAGGCAATGTGCGCGTGCTGGTGGTCGACCCGGGCATGTCGCGCACGCCCGGGTTCCGCCACTGGCTGACGGGGGGGTCGCTGCTGTGGCTCGTGCTGGGTTATGTGCTGCTGTACCCGCTGTGGTGGCTGTTTATTAAGAGCGCCGACGACGGCGCACAGTCGATTTTGTATGCGGCCATGGACGGCGAGCTGCGGCGCATGCGCGACTTTGGCACCGCGGGCGACGCGCTGGCGGACGACGCGGCCCGGGACCCGCTGGCGCACAAGATCATCAAGGAGTGCCGGGTCATGGACACGGCGCGGCGCGACGTCGAGGACGAGACCGTGGCCAAGGCGCTGTGGCAGGACAGTGATCTGCTGGTGGAAGAAACGGAAAAGCGAGCCGCCGAGCGGCGCCAGCGGGAGAAGGAGGCCGCCAAAGAGGCTGCCGAGAACGAGGAGCGCGTGCGCAAGGAGACACATCAAGTCAACGAAATCGAGGCGCTGGTGAGCGCGATCAAGAAGGGCAAAGAGCGGGAGAAGGAGAAGGAAGCGGCGGCGAAGAAGGGCGACAAGAAGTCGAAACGAAAGGCATAAGGGGGGTGAGGCTCGGCTTGCTTTTGGTTTTTTTTGTTTGGCATCGTATCTATTTGGCATCTACGGACGTACACGGCGTGGGATTGCGTTTGCTTGATATGGGCATGGACCTGGATTTGTATGGCGCACAAAAGACACATAGAAGCATGGAATAATGCATAGATTTGTTGCGATGACGAGACTCACTGTACGAAATACATGCTGTAGCTAATAACGAATGCCATTTAGCGCACTGCTCATTGCCTGGCGGCGCCTGCCCAGCCCGGACCGAGGCGCCAGAACTCGCAACTGGCACCCCGCTTAGCGGCCTTTCCACGTGAAAAATGACGACAGCGGCGGCAGCGACGCCTATACAAACCCCATATTTTTGACAGCTGCGAAATCTCACAACGCCAAACCAAAACTTCGAATCGACAACGCAAACACGGCGACTGCACTCCGGCACAACCCTTTCGACGCCCTTCGACACTGAGTCCGCCGTCACCAACACTGTCCTCCATGATCTGAGCTCGTCACTTCGCCGTCCATATACGGCCTGTCCCTTTCGCCGCTGCTTCGGCCTGTCCTTTGTCATCTGTGTTTCTCCGGTTCCGCTGCTGGCTCTGCATACAAAGCTCCCCCATGGCCCCGGCTGCACCTCCTACACTGCCGATAGCAGGGGCGCTTTCCTTCTCCGACGTCTCGGCCGACTACGCCATCCCTCGAGCCATCCTGGCACCACATCTCCTGCCCCCTTCGCGACAGCAGCCAACGCAGCACCGTCAAGTGCCTCCACCGCCAGCGATGCACAACCCGTCTGTCCTCCATCCTGTCTTTTTTACCGAGAATCTGCAGCGGCGGAGGTCCTTTGGCCAGCCAGCCGTGCCAGTCGCCGTCCCACCCGTGCCCGCGCCCGTGCCCGCGCCTCGCCACATCCACAACCCTCACCAGGCGCCCTTTATGCCATCTGCACCGTACCAAGCGCACCCTGCGGCCTTTCCACTTGCACCGCCGGCACCCCCGTTGCCGCACGCGAGCAGTCCGGTCGCCCACGGCTACATCTATCGCGAGAACACGACCTGGCCAATAGCACAACGAGCTCGTCCAGTCGGTGTCGGCACTGGGAGTAAGCTGTAACAGTGGTGAGGCGACCACAGAGGATGCGTGGACGAGACGAAACATGGGCGGCAGGTTTATCTCTGTATGCATACGTCGCATTGCTCGAGGCGTGCTTGCTTTTACAGCACTGTCATGATCTAAACATAATCTAATGGTATTATGAGGCATCCAAGAACACCTCCATTCCACTACTCGTAATTTCTGTGTGTCGTATAACGCCGTAGTGCAAGTGGCACGTGCTGTAGTCCGCGTTTCACAGCCTGTAACAGCACCCCCTTCAGCGCCCAGCGCCACGCCACAAGCCTTGCCCTAGTGCAACCTTGTTGGGGAAGGCGCGGTGGCAGTTCGTCATCGACCACTGGTACCTGCCGCTTGCCAACACAAACATCATCACTTCCCCTTGGCCTCACAACTTGTCCATCTGCTCATCACGCCAACGATATATCCACAGACACTTCACGTCGGCGTGGCTGGCATCCGACGTTACCGCGACGCACCAAATTTGCCCAGCGATTGACTGCAGAACATACGCCCATTCGCGCCCACGCACACACCCATCTCCCGGCCGTCAGTATGACGTCCTCCGCGCCGACGACGCCGCTGCTTTAGTATGTCCTCTATCTGTTGCTTTCTCTCTCTCTCTCTGTCTCTCGCTCCGCTCCTCTAACAGTCTAGTGCGTGCGTCGCCCACAATACCACAATCCTCGCCGAGTGCATCGCTTCCGCCTCCAGCCAAACCTCTGCCCTCGCCTCCCTCGTCCTGCCCAAGATCGACCACAAGACACCACAGAAATTGACATTCACGCACGGCTCCAACCACATCCACTATGTCGCCGAGGCGCCCAACCCGGACGATGCCGACAGCACGGCCAGCAGCGCCGGCGGCCTGACGTTCTTGGTCGTCGCCGAGGGCAGCCTCGGCCGCCGCATCCCCTTTGCGTTTCTCGTTGCCGTCCGCTCCCAGTTCTTTGCCGACTTCCCGCCCGCCCACACCGACTTTTCCGACCTGCCCAACTACGGCTGCGCCTCCTTTAACGGCACCCTCAAGGCCCTGCTCGTCCAGTTTGGCACGTCGTCCGAGGAGGACGCCCTGTCGTCCGTCCACCGCGACATGGACGACGTCCGCGGCATCATGGGCCGCAACATCGAGTCCCTGCTGGAGCGCGGCGAGCGCATCGACCTGCTGGTGGACCAGACCGACCGCCTGGGCGGCAGCGCCCGCGACTTCCGTGTGCGCAGCCGCGGCCTGAAGCGGCAAATGTGGTGGAAGAACGTCAAGCTCATGGGCCTTATGGGACTGGTGTTTGTGCTGGTGCTGTTGACCATTGTCCTGTCGGTGAAGTCGTAAGCACGGCCCGGTCTACGAGCCCACGGCTTACTGCTGGCAATCGTGTCTCGACGGCCCGTTGTTTTATCTCTTGTATCGCTACTGTTCGCCCTTCATTTGTTGCTCGTTCTTTCGTTTGTCGGGGTTTCATGGCATAGTTTCAATTTCCCGTTTCCTCTCTCGTTTTTCTTTGTCAACCAGATGGTACTTTACTTTACCGTTTTCGATTTTATACCAGTCAATACCAAGGCAAATCTGCCGGAGAATGCTCTTTACTTGTACATCGTCTCTTGTCCAGAACAAAACAGGATCCGTCAAGATGGCTCCAAGACATTGGCAATTCCAATTGTTCAGCGCTAAATTGCCTACAGAATGACGTTTTAGCGGTCGTGCTTCCCGTAAACCGCGCCAGTAATGAATACCACGCCAGCACGCGTCGCACTAACCGCGCCTCAGCCTATGAAATAGAAAGTGCACCTCCCAACTCAACCCAAAACGACATCGGTCGGACTCGACATCACCACGTGGACGACGCCATACTGACCAGCCGAGCCATCTATCCTGGCACAGTGGCACTCTTTGCGTCACTACACGATTCATTGCGATCCTCGCACATACGACGTTCTTGTCCATCGCCTCCTCCGCCTCTTGCTGCCGGCCCATTCCCTACGTCTTGTTACTTTATTATTTTTATCGCCAACATGCCGTACAACACAACGGCCATTCCACCTCGGAAAGAGCCTACGGGCCAGACCCAGCTGCCGCGTACGTGCCGTGCCATCATTTCGTGCCACGGCCTCGTCGCTAACGTCTCCAGTCTCGAGAGTCCGCAAGATCATTGCCCTCGACCCGGATGTGTCCATCTGCTCTAGTAATGCAGCCTTTGTCATCACACTGGCGACCGTACGTGCTGTCGATACGACCCGCCTGGCCTCGTCTCTCGACGCCCCTTGACTGCTAATGCCCCCCAGGAACTCTTCATTCAGTACATCTCCTCCGAGGCCGAGAACATGGTCAAGCTCGACCGCAAACCCCGCCGCAACGTCCAGTACCGCGACCTCGCCAACGCCGTCAACCGCGTCGACCGCCTCGAGTTTCTCGAGGACACCGTCCCCGTCACCGTTCCCTTTGGCCGCATCAAGCGCGACGCGGCTGCCGCGCAGGCGAAGCTGCGTAGCGGCGGCACCGTCGGCGGCGACACGACCGGCACAGGACCCAAAGGCCGGGGACGTGCAGCTGGCGGTGGTGGTGAGTCTGCTACTGGCGGAGGCGGCGGTTCGCGGAGCAAGGCCCGGTCATCGACGGGCGGTGCACCACCCACGGCCATCTCGGCCCTGATGGCCAATGGTGAGCCGGCAAGCGGCGGCGGCAGCGGCCCAGGCAAGAAGCGGCAGCAGGTGCTGTCCTTTAGCATTCTCAACGGCGACGACGAACACGACGACGACACCCACACCCACACCGACAAGAACAACAACAACCACGGCGGTCGCGCGGGGCTGACATTCCGCTCAGCGGCGCCCTCGTCCGGCGTGGCCGCCGCCGCCGCTCTGGCGCAAGCGGCGGCCGCGTCGGGCGCCGTGCAGGACGACTCGGGGCCCGACGCCCAGCTGGAGCAAGACATGCAGCGGGCACGCGACGACGGCAGCGGACAGGGAGACGTGTCGCGGCGAGACGGCACGGCACGCCTCATCGGGGCCGATGTCGACATGCTGGACAGCTAGTTTGGCGGGATGCGATGGCGTGTATTTGTTGTTTTTGGTTGTACGAAAATACCTTGTTGTATCCAAACTAAATTATAAACTTGTATAAATGCGTGATGCCCGTGTGTGCTGTATGATATTGCAAGGCAAAGAAAGCCCAGTGCCATGTCACCCTTTTATCTTGCCGTAAAAACGCCAGTACGCCCTACATCGGATGCCCTTCCATGTCAACGACGGCGCTCTCGTCATCCATCTACATCCTCCGGTGTATTAATGCGTTTGCATCCCAGAGCAACACGCGCTCGTCCCAGCCGGTCGACGCCACCCAGCCGCCCTCGCCAAACAGCGACCAGTCCACACCTGTCGTGAACTCTGTGTGCCGGTTCATCACGCCCAGCTCCGTGCCCATCCGCACGGGCATCTGCTGCTGCGACGGCGGCGGGGCCGGCGGCGGCGGCGATCCGTCCGTCCATACCCGCACCGTCATGTCGTAGCTTGCGCTCAGCAGAATGTCGTGCGCATGCGGGCTCCACGCCAGCCGCCGCACCGCAAACTCGTGGCCCATCATGTACGACAGCGCGCCGCCCGCCGGGTTGCGGATGTCGAACGTCCGGATCACCTTGTCCACGCCGCCCGTCGCAACCACGGTGTCGTTGTACTTGTTCCAGTCGTGCGTGAGGATCTCCGCGGGTGCGCCGCCCATCGCGCCGGGCGGGGGGACGCCGCCGTTGGCGAGGTGCGGCAGGTGGCCCGCGTGCGTCGGCGGCGCGTGCACCGGCACCGTGGCGACGAGGTGGTACTTGGCCGAGACCGGCGTGCGCAGGTCGAAGATGCGCAGGTGTGAGTCGCTCGAGGCCGCCGAGACGATCGCCGGGTTGGACGGGCAGTAGGCGGCCGAGTAGGTGCAGGTGCCAATCGGCAGCGTGCGCAGCGCCTGGTTGCGCGTCGGCGACCACAGCTTGACGGTGCCGTCCCACGAGCTCGTGAGGAACGAGTCCTTGGTGACGGGGCTCCATGACACCGACAGCGCCTCGCGCTTGTGCTCGTGGAAGTTCATCACGGGGAAGTTGTCCACCGACAGGTCAAACAGCTTGAGCGATCCGTCGCCGCAGGCCACCAGCAGCTGGTTCTCGTTGATCTCGGACCACGCCACGTCAAACTGCGAGTCGTTGGTGTCCCATACTTTGCCAATCTGCGCGCCCGCCGCCGTCAGCTCCAGCACAAACAGTTTGCCGTTGCCGATGATGCCAAAATTGGCCGACGACGCCACGGCCACGCGCGAGTCGTAGTACGGCGAGTATTGCACGGCGTACGGGTTGTACCCGGGCGTGCGGAACTCGAGCATGGGAGCGGCCATGATGGAAAGAGGAGAGGGGGCGAGGAGCGGCGTATTCGGTTGAGAGGGGCAGACGTGGCTGGCTGGATGCAGCCGTGCGGGCGGAGGAACAAAATGGTGGTCGCTACCGATGACGCTTTCCAGCGAAGGGGAGCTTCCTGCCGTTTACGCCAGGGAGGTCGGGTCCCTCGTTCTTGCCGTTTCGGCGTTCTCACGATGAGTCGTTGCTGCCGAATGTGCGCTTCGTCTGTTAATTGTCGGCAGGTGCAATGCAGATTGCTAGCGAACGTTGAGCTGGAAGGCGGTCATGAGCAAACCAAAGCAACAAGTACATGTCGCCAAACATCTTTCTGTGGGGTTTGGCGCCGTTTTGGCACTCTTTCTTCGCTGGCTGCTGAAATTCCGGCGCTGCAGATACCTCGGCTTAAGTGCGGAAGAGCTATGACTTACTTTGCTACGGGAGCGAATGCTACACACCAAAAACGGCAAGCCCACTAAAGTCACGTTCTCGCAACTGTTCCTTCCCCAGACTTCCCGCAGGCGAACAATTTGCAGTTGAGCTCCCACGCTCAGAATTGGAAAGCGCGAATGACGATGGCCAGCATCTCATCGACTTTGACTTACATAAACAGAGTCACCCAATGCGTTTCTCACTCTTCACGTATACTCAGTATACTTAAATATCGGGTCACAGGCCTCGCCCCGTGATAATGCGCCCCATGCGCGGTCTCGAGGGCTGACCGGGATCGCCAGCCTTGCAAACGCAATATGAAACCACGATACGTGTAATCTGTACGATGTACCTGGCTAAACGATCCAAACAGGGAAGATGTAACTACGACATTGGTAACACCCATATGGATGATTATGAGAGTAGATACCATGTGGGCTGGTCTGAGGCCTGTGTGACCGGAAAAACTTGAGTTTCAGCAGGGCCTGTGCCTTATATCAACGTCTCTTCGGGATAATTGCCTGCCTGCAGACCGTGGCCTGTCATGTTTCAATAAGTGCCCAGATCCCAGTGATCTGGCTTGTTTTGACTTTTCACCAATACGGAATGTGCGCTTACTGCACAAACATCTCAGGCCTATATTACAATTTACGGGCATCGCGCTGCAATCACTGTTGTCGTCTCACCTGCTCACCGGGCTTTGTATGACAATACGCACTTAAAGAAGAGCGAGAAAGCGAGAAGCAAACTCCAAATGGATCGTGCGTCGTACATTGTATGTGGAACGCGCAGCTTGGCCGAATGGGGCCTGCCCGTGGACAATCCTCATTACGAAAGAGTTTAATATCCTTTCCGCGCTGGTGGGCAGCAAGACCCAAACGGCTGGGGTTGGTGGTATAATGTTGACCTGCCCCGATTTCAGAGGAGAGGCTCGCTGGCACGGCTTGTAATGACAACCACGGCCTGTTCTGTAGAGAGACGAAGCGACGGCACAGGAAAATAAATAAAAACTAAACTTCAATGAGGCTTGCCGACCGCGTTGTGGGACCTGTGGTGCTTGGGCACAGGTAGCCTTTGGTTCCATAGCATGTCTCTCAATTAACAGGGATTGGGAGGATGCAAGGGGACGATGGGCTGCACGTGACAACGAAGTACATGAAAATCCCAGCAAGGAGATGAGCTACGATGCACAGCATGCAGTAGCCCATGTATGCACTCTCACGGCGCGCCAGTGGTGCGTGTGCTGCGTCAATCTTGTCAGCATATGGCATCGTGAGGGCTGGCCTCCTTCTTGGTCATCTCACGGCCACAGCTGGGCTCAACCGGCGATGGTCCGCTCGTTTTCGGTCGGCAGAACGAGGGATCAAAGCTGAACAACAACGATCGATGTGCTGCAAGGTGAGCTGCAGGCTGTTCGCCCCTTTTCCTAGCGACGTCTAAATACCGTGTGTGCAGATGTCTCCACACAGTGTCCAAAGCCCCATGGATTCAACGTGTCCGCCTCTGGTTTGAGCTCTCGCAGAAGCCAGGAGACAACGCTCCGTTTGTCGCAGACACCAAAGAATTGAAGCAATTGGCCAGGTAAAGTGCGCACTCGTTGTGACGAGACAACGGCAGCAGCATCTGTCACTGCGGCGGCGCAGGTATTACAATCTACTTATCCAGCTTCGAGCAAACGAGGGAGCACGGAGTAGAAACAGGTCATGCGCTGCATATCACACGATGTAACTTTTGTGTCTAGAATACGAGACTGGCGAGACTGGCCAATGTCATTCCCTCCGGCCCATGAAGCCTTCCAATACTTTTGAAAGAAGGTTTGACGTTCAGCGGGTCCTAGAAACGAAACGAAACATCTTTCACCTACGCCATTCCTCCCCAATCTGTCCACCGTTAAAAACATTTTCCTTGAATCGTGCGGTCCATCGCATAGTCGTACGTAGAACAGTGCGCGCTCAGGTCCTGCCCGCTGTCGTGGTCAACCAAGTACACTAGCGTGAGATCTGTGCTTCGGGAACCTGGGCCAGCCAATGACAAGCTCTGTATAGTGGGGCTAACCCCCGTTCTTAGCGTCCTTTCCTTATTTGCTTCCCTGGCGAGTCCCAGCCCACCACAGCCAGCCATAGGCCAGAATGGCAGCTACGCAGAACACGTCCCCACACGCTGGCCGCTCCCCCTTTCTCCTTGGGCTGCACCTGCCTCACGGCTCAGTCGTGGTTCCTTTTATTTTTTTGGTGCTAAAGCACGAACCCCTTTTTCGCATCGCCAGGGGGGGCAATCCCGCCCAACGGTCAGTCAATCCAAGGACTGCCAACTCTGTCCCCAAAAGGAACGTTTGTGCTACTACGCGAGTGTGTCCCCTGCCATGACTGTCCCCAAAAGTTCCCCCAGTCTTTTCGCTCCCCGTTTTCGCCATTGTGTCCCCTCTGGCCTGCTCCTTCTTTCCATTTGCTGTCCACCTAGCCCCTTTTTTCTTTCTCGCAATTTCCCTTTCTAGAAGGCATCGGCCTCGTTTCTCTCCCCTAATCCAATTCTTTTTGGAACTTTCGCTGCTATCCCTCCCCTTCCTTCGCTCTTTCCCACTTCCCTTCAGAACACACCACATCTCACGATCCTTCTTCCCGTTCTCTCGTTTCCTCGAGAGCTTCGACCGACCGTCGTCACAAACTGCGCGACGTCTCCCCGGAACCTCGAACCGTTCAACTTCTTTCTTCTCAATTTGCCGATAGTTTTATTTTAATCTCGTCCGTTGTTAGGTAGGTTTGTACCAGTGATCCTCGCCCTTGCCACCAGGACACCCCCTTTTTTATGCGGAAGACGACGGTGGACAAAGAAACGGCAGGAGCCAATGAAAGAGACATGGCAAGATGTGCATCGACGCTGCGCCTGCCTCGAGCAATTCCACCGTGCAGTGTCTCTGGACGCCCACTCGCAGCTTCTCTTTTCTTTGCTGGCCATTCTTTGGCGGTGTCCTCGCAATCTTGACAGAGCCGCTCCCCTTGGTCCTGCCGTTTCACAACTCCTCCGGTCTTTCTTCCCTGGGCAACGTGACAGGCGCCTGCCTTTTCTGCCATCCCCTATTTACCAACCTACACGTCGATTTTCATTCATCGAGCGCATCGCGTTGTCGCCAAAAGTGAAAAGTGCTAACCAAGGCACCGTCTTTTCTCTCCCATTTAGGATCCTTCTTTCCTCGTTCGTGCACTTGTGCCTTCCGTACATTCCAAAATTCCGACC